CCCCCACCCCCACCCCCAGTGATCGGCTGAAGGAAGGGACAGCTGCTCTGCGTCAGCCCTTGAGAGGGGCGAGTGGCGGGCCGAGCTCCTCTCAGTGCATAAGGATTTCAGCTATGTCTCCATTAGACCCCAGTGAGCACCAAATATAGCCCAATTAACGTCACGACACAGGCCACGCCTAGCTAACCCTTGCTGCTCCCCCTTCAGGGTGCTGTATGTGAACCAATCATAAAGGTCAGGGTCCTGTTCCCTGTGACCCTCTCTTCCCTTTTGAAGTACACACTCCCAATCTGGGTGATAATCTGCTATGAGTCTGAAATGCCAATTACAAACAACAAGGGGTTTAGACCCCTGGTTGTTACCCTAGAGGACTTATTAGAAGCTGAGCGATGGGGGTATGTGAGAATATTTCCACTGCAGAGGTAGACATTGAGGAAGCAAAGCAGATTAGTTTGGGAAAGTCACACAAGTTCCTTCTAAAGCGAGGTACTCAGATTGAGCGGCTTTGTCCCACTGTAACATAAGGATAAACAGGGTGATCTGGATTCCACACCCACTTGGTATATTGTTTTAAAGCACACAGTAAGTTTTTTCTTTGAGGTTAGCAACTGTGGTGGTCATTTTGCCAGGAAGCTGCCAATAGGGGAAACTGTTTACCCTCAAACATGATATAACCTGCCTAGGGAGAAACCGTGAACCAGCAACAAACCTTGAGGTAGGCCATTCTCCATTCCGGAAACTGTTACAAGGCTCAAATAAACTAGAAATAAATTGAATGTATGGAAAATAGGGTTTGGCTACTTGCAGGTGCCACGCTGGCTTTTCGGCTGAGCTTACCAGACATGCTTACGTAACCGAACATCGAAACGCTGCGGCTCAGATGTCGCCTTGCGCTTCACATTATTATGACATCGACCACTTTCTCATTCATGATCTGACTTATAAGTCAAGGACACTCTCCGCACAGACTTGTGAACCCAGAGATCACCCGGCCTGCAAAGCATGACCACCGTTTTCCACAACACAAACAAGCCGCAGGATGTCTCTGGCCTGGGCTTGCCATTTCTGTGGCTTAGTGGAAGGACATGCTTGAATGGGTCCCATTGTCAATCTATTTGTCACCCACTATTTTGTGGCGGCTTTTGGCAAGGGCCCAAGGTCGGCTAGCTCATAGGCCTAAATATATTACACACAGTAGAAGAGGCAATGCTGGTACAGATCTTACACTATAAATAAAAATAAACAAAAAAGGTATGACATAGCACTTCTGAATATGCCAGCACCCATCCAAATGATGGCTATAGAATATACCAAATACTGTCTTATCTAGATGAATGCTAAGTTGTTGTTTTTTTTTGTCAAGACAAAATCATTTCTCCAATAATGACATGTTAAACTTAGGTAAAGATGAAAATTGGTCTAAATCTGCTCTCAGAAAATACCAGAATTAACCAGGAAGGGAAAAACAAGCAAATGCTGCATTAAAAATTCTATTTCGATTCACCATTTTCTGATGTTGCCCTCTTTGTGCCCTTATGTTCCATCTGTGAACCCACGTGCATTACAAGCTCCTTGACAAAAAAGGATCTGTGCCCCTCACTATTTATGTAGTATTATATGTCCGGCATTGCCTTGTAAAACTCAGCTTACCTTGTAAATGAACCAAACAGAGTTGAGTCGACACCCTACACTGAAAGCTGCTGTATAGTATGGCTTTGTGCCCGTTAAACCTTCAAGCAGAGGGAAAGATGAGAACTACTTGGTATTAGCAGCAGTAGGTTTCCTTGACCACCACTCATATACCTGTGAGACATTTCTACACTCCATGAAAGCACACGTTTGATATGATCTGAAGAAAAAAAAAAACACTAAAAGAACTGCTTTTCTCACCTTTTTTTTTTGGCAGAGTTTATGGTTGCAAATTTTAGTGAGTATTTTCGAGCAGTTACAACAGGCCTTTGAGACCAAAGACAAGGCTTCCATCCAGAATACAGTATCCTGCTTCAAGCTGGCTCTGCTTTGTCTAAGCACAAACACAGTCCTCCATTGTGGTGTTAGAAGTCATCCTCAATACCACTAGTCTTCGATTACAGCCCCGGAACACCAAACCCTATACTTTTGTGCACCCAGAACAAGCTCATTACTGATTCAGACACAGCCTGTGTAAACAATTCTAAAACTGTGCAAACAGAATTATTCATACAAAGTACCCAACCTCTTAACAGTTACCCAATTCCCCAAAACATGGTTTGAATGGACAAATTGGTTGCTGGAGGACTGTTTAGCTAAAAAGGATATAGTGGAGGGAGATTTTAGAATAGCATGGCTGGGTAAATGTCTCACTGTTAAGGGCGAACCACTCATGTGTTAAAGCTCCCCTCGAGGCTCCTGCGACAGTCTAAGCAAGGACTGCAACATCATCTCTGGGTAAAAATGTCTAAAAACATTGCCTGAAACCTTGCTTGTATGCGTAGGTAGCCAAAGGTTTATTCAAATTTGCAACTAAAAATAGTTTAAGTATTGTATTTCATAAAGTGCAGTGAACACATGTGACATCCCGAATCCCCTCAGTGCACCTGCAGTTCATGTGTTTCTTATTCAGAGAGACCAGAGACGCCATGGACACACATCCCTGCTAGGGCTGGGTGATGTCCATACTTTGCTACTAGGAACATGCTTCAAAATATCAGACACGTGTTGTGTATGAAGGCTTGTTGTTAAAGGTTACCTGGTTGGTAGAAGTTGGGGGAGAGCTCCCTAGCAACCGCCCTGGCAATTTCAGAGTCATGCACAGCAGAGATGGCGGCCTGCTCTGCCGCCTCGCTTTTTGTCCTGGCATGGGCCGTTCTGAAAAAACACAGAGACAATATTAGAGTTGCATGCTAAGAGGCCAAGACATAAAGAGGGTGAAAACCACCACGGTCGTAGGATGTATAGTAGATACCTACAGAGATACATACACAAACAAATGATTTATGTTTTTCCATAATATGTGTCTACATGCTTCCATGTTATCCATGCCACCTTCAACATCAAGACTGACACAATCCTCTATAATCTTTTTCTCTTTCTTGCTACTCTGACCCTCCATCCCTTCCTCTTTCCCCTCATATTTGAGCTGTATCACTCAGCCTGTCCCTTTTGGTGATGACATAACAACTCCACTTGTGCTTCTATCTCAAATCCAAATCCTGATTTTCCAAATGGAGCGCAGCCACAACCAAGCAAGACCTTAATCCAGTCTGGAGAACTGCACTGCTGCCGGACCACACAGGACAAGTGCTCACACACGCGCACATACACACACATACACACAAGACACACATGTAAACACACATATGCTCATATCAGATCATATCATATCATATTTTAATCCCATGCAGGTCAGCAGCAAAAAATACTGCTTTTAGATGACTGATAAAGTATAAAGTGAGTCAATACATAAATATAGTAAATCTACTAAGAAATACAAATGAGAATGTAACAAAATGTCAAAGATATTTCAAGGCCTGTGGGAACCATAAGGCACTCACTTCAGAGGGTGTTTTCTACCTACTCTATTAACATCTGTATGATGAACTTAAAAAAGAAGTATGAGTCGAAACTCCAGCATTAGAAAACCTTGAACCCACATCTACTATACGATGTTGATGCTTAAAAACCAAATGGTAGAAGAGTGATATGTTTTGGGATCAATGTGAGCTTAGCATTAGCACTGAGAGGTATTATAGGAGCGTACATGGTTAGACAGACAGAGGCCAGGGGGTGACCTGCTTAACAAATCCTTTGAAAACTCCACCAAAAGATACTGTACATGTGCACGTGCTAACACACAAATGTATGCACTTGTAAGGCAGTATGTTTCCCACTGCTTTGACCAGGCTCCCTTCAGAGAAGTCCTAATTATGCAACAATATGAAATGCATCAGTTAAAGCCAGTGGATTAGTCACTTACAGTATGAACAGCTAGTGAGTGAAACCCACAAAACACAATATATGACAGAACCACATGGACTGTAAGGATCCAGATGGGCTGTCCAAGTATCACTGTAAGTATTGACAGCTGTGCCTTGTGGCCTGCTTAACCCCACTCATCCGTCTTCCTCTCCCTCTTTCGTTCACCAACCCTTTTCTCTTTCAATCAATGCTCTTGTTTTTTTTTTTCGATCCTTCATCTGTCTATTGATGCTGCATCTCCTCATCCCGCCTGCATCCTCCTCTCATCCCCTCCCTCCCTCTGTCATTCTGTCAAGAGTGACCCCAACGGACAGATGTCTCTATTTCAGACCACATCTCTGTCCTTGGACTCTGGGCTGTCCTGTTTTTGACGGACTGGGACAGAGAGATATTAAAATGCATGAGGAGCCATATGCTGGCGGGAGAGACGGACCATTTCCTCTCCAGAAATAAGTCCCTGCACAGAGGACACACTCACCACCACTGAGCAGCTGCAGATAAAAAAAAATCAGATTTAGTACATTTTTAACTGTCACAGACAGTGTAACACACAATGCTTTGAGTTATTACAAACATGTAGGAATTCCACTGGTGCGGCTAAAAGCAGGTACACTATTAGCTTCATGGTCTTATTTAACGGCACTAAAATCCGACATTAAAGCATTCCACTTACATCACACCACCAACATGTATAGTGTAGACATCCTCTTGCCACACATGCTACCACAAGGACATACGTACATGCTTCTATTTCTGAAATGTGTGAAATGTGCAGCCGAGTGAAAGGAGGCATGAATGTGTCATGAATGTATACAGCATGCCCATGACATCCTATGGATCTTAACAGTTCCTTTTAGGTAGAGTTGGCATAAAGTCATGGGCAGACACAGGAAGCGATGCAGACTGTTCACAGACAGGATGTCTGGTGGCGGGAGGTGACAGGCAGAGAATGATGGGAGTGTGATGGAGCAGTGGGACAAGAGGAGAGTGAAATGAAAGGCGAGAAAACATGGGCATGTGGAGCACAGAGAGGAAAGGGTTGGTTGGTCTTGGCATCGGTAGGCTACATTTAATCTTATAGACAGTTTTAATCAAACTAGCGAGCCGCTTTCCACAATGCATGGACTGTTAAAGCTGCAGTAATCATAATTGCGCAACAAGGTGTAAATGCAACACTGACATCTTTAAGATGTTAAGATATCAAGATGATATAGCGAATGCAAAGCAACATTAGCATTAATTTGGAGTCAAGTTCTCATGACGAATGTAGCCTAATATAGCCTAATATGCACAATCCTTTTAGCTCCTGATGCAGATATCTAGTGTTACGGCCGCCGCTGGCTGTCGTTTAGTGTGTATTCATTGTGTGCTTCATGAGTGATTTTTTTGTGATTGTGATTTAGCTGCTAAATGCTCCACTATGTTCACCAGCTACTTGCTAACTTTGTCCGTCTGCCATTTAGCTAGGGAGGTAGTTAAACAGTGTTTTTTTTTTTTTTTGGATTTTTTTTTTACTAACAACCGCTGCCTCAAGTGGTTAAAAGAAAGGGAAACAAAACAGTTGTTGTAAAACCAAAACAATGAGCTGAAAGATAATAAAATGCGTTGTATATCTAAGGTAAATTGCAGAATTAGGTGATAATTCTCTGTGGATTTGTCACTATGAACAACCCCTTTCACATTACACAGAATCATCTGATCCATTGTTAATGTATAAGTATTGCATATAGCAGCTTTAAGTGTGACTGGCCCCAGTAGAGAGACACATTTTGCAGGCCAAATTATGCAATGCATTGTCTTGTTGATCACAGATTCAAAGCAAAAACGTCTGGGTAAACAACAATTATGCAAGCTCACGATTGACCTTTGAAAAAGTTTTAAGTTCTACAACTTGTCAGACAGTCTGTAGCCTCTCTACTTGAGGCCGATCTGCCTCTGAATATAAAGCAACACCTGTTCTCGTCTAGTTCTGGGCTCTGCAGGCTCTCCTTTCTGGTTGAGTGCTGGGGATGGGTCCAAGCAAATCAAGGTATTTGAATCCATAAATGCACCTGCTGGCACAAATGCAAATATCACATAAGCAACCCACACACACACACACACACACATGGTTTGCAGAAATTAGGACAAAGCATAGAAAGGAGCAAAGACTTTGAAGCCGTTCCTTTTGGACTGAAGCTCGGTTTTAGAGATGATATTGATGAAGGCCTGGTGAGATCCATGGTTGTTCCATTACTGTGACAAATGAATTGTGTGAAAAGTGTTGAGTCAGTTTGGCAGGCAGCGCGGCGGATGCTCTTTCTCGCCGTGGAATGTGTGTCTTTGTGTGTGCATTTGAGACAGAAGAGGAGGGTGAGAAAAGCGTACACTAAGTAAAAATGTATGGAAATGGAAAGGAGAGAAAGACAGAAGTAGAGCGAGAGAGACAGAGAATGAGACAGATTGCCCCTCTAAAGACTTCTGGGTATTTAGAACTGCTTAGGTATACATCTCAGCCCCTCTAATTTTACTGTAGGGTTCAATTTCAAACCCCAACTCCCATGCGGCACAGTGCATCCTCCTTTAAGGTTGGTAATACCTCGGACACCCGCAGAATACAGCATGTGTCTATATTATGCGCCTGTTGTGTGTGAGTGTGTGTGTGATTGCGTGTCGTGTGTGCACATTCCCCCTGAGTAGAGCTTCAGTCCATCACTCCCCAGGCTATGGCCTATTTGAGGAATCTCCCTCACATATGCTGACACAGTTTTGCACCCCCTTCGTCTCGCCCCCTCTGCCCCCCTTTAGCTTCTTCCAACGTGCCACCCTCCCCTTTCTCTTTTCCTCATCTTCCTTCTCTCCATCACACTGACCCATTCCCCCTCCCCGTCAGTCCAAGCTTGGTAACTGGAATGCTGACTGGTACTGTATATAATAAGAGAGAAGATGAAGTCTTGACCATGTCCGTGATAAACATCAGCACTCCACAACCCTCCTTTAAACTCTCATTCATTGCTAGAGAAAACAATACTGGGCAGTAATGCTTAGATGCTGTACTGTGAGTACAAATCATTAAAGGATATTATACATCAACTGAAATTACTGCTCTGCATCTTGCTTAAACACTCTCTAGGTTCAAAAGAGCAACACATATATATACAACATCACAGAAAGTCTGCACAAATTAGCACTTAGTTTGCCCTGCACATATCTCTTATATCCATGTGGGGCTGCTATTGAATTCCCGGCTGGTGTTAATTCAGGATTACTCAAGCATGACTAAGACCATTAGTGGTTAGCTAAAACCGACTCTGAAATTATTCAGGAATTATTCCTGGGCTAAGGTCTGGGCTCACATTACCAGGGGCTGCCGTGGTCAGGGGACAATGGCTACTGCAAATGAGGCTTTAAATGGGAGACAGTGTGGCTGTTATTATGAGATAAGCTAACGTTATCCTGAAGTGAGAGCTATAGTGCTGTATAATGAGAATATTTGGGCATGGCCATGTACTGCTTGAAACATTTTAGATCTCAGGACATCCTGGTGGTTGGTAGGTTGGGGCTCTGGGCTCATTCCCTTTATTTGTCTTTTCCATTCTACTTCTTTTGACTAAAAGTAGAGACATGCACGCTCAAAAGCAGCATGTAAGATCAGTTAGGCTTACTGAATTTTCCCCAGTCTTATGACTGGCCAGGCAAAATAATATGATTTCTGAAAAAGGAATCTGAATGTTTTTCTTCACATTTCACTTGCTTTCAAGATTTTTTTTTTTTACTGTAACACGGACTTTTATGGAAACACAGCTGCACAGAGCACTACAGCAGCATAAAAACAATAAAACACCAAACATGTGGTGAAAGGGTGAAAGCATAAGGCACGGTGCGGGGAAATGGGACAATGAGCGGGAGGG